ACCGCGCCTATTAATAAAGGAGCAGATAATTTGAGATGGGAAACGAATTACCTCATTGTAGAAACATTAGCACGTTCAAAGCATCCGTGAAATAAAATTTTATGATTTTTTCCAATTCATTCACCTGCTGGTATTGGCATATCTTTGTAGAAGAATTCGTTGGATGGATCAGCTGTCCTCAGCTCGACGAATCTGGATCCTAAGCGGCATGTGACATTGCCTGAATCTTGTGTCACAGAGTAGCTCAAGCACGCTGAATTCCTGAATGAGAAAAGGCTAATAGACTCCAAAAAATCCCATGAGTTGGTTGCTGTAGCTTTCAATGTCTTAACATACTTAACAGAAGAGACTCTCTCCTATTTCCAACTCTCCCTTTCAGCTTGGACAAAAAAATCTCAAATGCATGCAGTAATCCTATTTTAATTACATCTGAGAGGCTCCTACAATTCATGACATTGCTGAAAGTGTTTGAACTCGAATAATACACTACATTTCTTGAGAATCTGTTCAGAACCTCTTCCATAGTGATGATTTCAGGGCGAGAGGCGTAAAACCTCCGGAGAAAAACGGTGGGTTCTCCCTCTCACCTATGTACGTGTACGAGGAGGTCCGCATTGCATGCAAAAGCATTCCTTGGTCAAAATGATAGCTGAAAAAGAAAGAAATTCAAACTACAGGCATCAAGATATGATCTAAATAAACTCATACCGTTGTGGCAATTTTATACCTCTCGCTCTTAAATTTCACTCTTTCGGAGGCAGCGTCGTCTTGCTTGACATCCTTGGAATTTGTCACACACAGTTTAAACTTAGATATTAGATATACACATAGTTCCACATATGATGAGTGAATTGAACATTCTTGAATTTTAAGGAACAGCTTAATTAATTTATCCAGCTTGCTTTTTAATTTATGTAGAGTTTAGAGAAAACGCCTACAAAAATGTGTGCGAAGTAGTCTCCTAGATTTTGCCCATATGAGTAGCTACCAGACGAAGATCTATTAATACTGTACTTTCACATTTCCATGAATCGGTTGTTACCTTATGAATGGGTATAAGGTTAGGGTGGATATGAAGGGGATTCGGAACGAAGTGTATGTCCCAGTTGGTAAATAGCCGCCAGGCGCCTACCTCAAACTTCAAACGAGGTGGATGTCTCTTCCGTGTCGATTTGGAAGCATATGGAAATTCCTAAACTTATTTATGCACGCCCTAGAGACATCCACCTGTTTTTTTATTCCAGCTGCCGTGTATGGTTTGGATGAGAAACTATAATTCGAGCTACATTCAGACATTAAATTCAAAGCCGTTGTCATGTCAATGAAAGTTGAGGAAACTCGCTGATTGCAAACCATGGAGCACTGAAGCTTCGCAAGGACGACAAGCTCATTAATCGGTGATGTGATCTTCATGTAGTAATTCTGCAGGGATAAGAATTTCAGAGTCGTGCTAGTCCCCATCGCCCTCCAGACGAACCAAATAAGAAGCCTGGTTAGCCGCAGCATCTTACTTCAATCGCATTCTCTAGCCAATTAGAGGTAAACCGGGTCATGCAGCGCATGCAACCTCGTTTCGATGTGAGTGCTTACGCCACATATTTCGTCTGCTCGAGTCACGCGATGTGCTCGGTCGGGGCAATAGGAACTAGCAACTTAGATTTCTGGTAATTTAACCTCGTCAAAATGCCAAGTTTTAATCTCCTCTCGTTCACAAAGCATTCTCGTGTGTATACGCATATTTGCAAAAATGAGTTATTTACTCGGACTGGCGTCATTCGTCCCACCGTCCATGAAAGTCAAAGGATTTCAGTCACCTTACCTCCAAGTATAACGATAACCAATTTCGTTCCCGGAGGTGAATAACTAGATGACCCATTCAGGAAATTGTTCCCGTGCAGTGCTCCATTCTTGAGATGTCCTAGGCGATGAGGGCTGTTGAAGACGCACAGCGAAAGAAGTCGTTAATAATATAGTAGGTATAAACGAGGTTCACTCTACGTGTATAGATTCCTATCATCCTCTGGCAGGAGAACCGTATGTGTCGCATCGATAAGTAAGTCTCGGAAACCTGACGTGGGACCAGTATCCCGTCTGCCGAGCTTAGCCCCGTGCATCTCTTATCACTGGCATAGCCCTTTATTGAATCATTAGTGGCATTGATATACTATCATGATCTAATATGACAATGGCGGCCAATTATTTCCGTGCACGATTCGCCTTTCACATTTCTCAGACTGTCGCCATCCTGGGTAGTTTTACTAAAGAGTGAGTGGTCCTGAAGCAGGGTGGCGCTTCAAAATTCCCTGCATTCGCTTGAGCTTCACATGATGGAAGCCCATGATATCTACAATGCACATGCGAGGTTCATGTTCCGACGCAAACCTAAGGCGTAAAGCCATCGTTATCTCCCTACCTACGACTTGAATAATTGAAAATCCCTGCCACTCGCTGATGGATATCGATTCACCTAACGAATGGGTCACGGCAACATCAGCACGATCTCGATGGCAGAGCCATACAATCAATGTCCTTCACGTCCCTCTGTATGAGCCGCAGAAAGTCCCGATGATGGGGAGGAATAGCACGATAAAAACGCTGAGATTGGCACAATTCGAAGGAACGAATTGCTTCTCAAGCGAATCAAATCAATCGTAGAGCGACACTTCCTTAGAGACGCTTATTATCACCAAACCGCGTCAATACTGCTGAAGTGAATCAACGGGAAAGGCTATGGTCTGATCATTACTGACTGGTAGGTGGGCAGTAACGAACGTGGTTCAAGCTGCAGGATCTCGGTCGCGAATTAACCAAGGGACTCCGTTTATTCATACCACGTATAATGTGCTCTATCCTGGCTGCGACCTCGGCCGAGTGACACATTCATGATTTTTCGTGTGTGTGTCTGTATGTGTGACAGCTCTGAAGGCCAAACGCTTCGACATGTGAACCGGAGTTTATGATAAGCTTTTCCTAATCATCTAAGGAAGTCCCTTTGCAAATAGTTATTTTCTGGATAGCGCCATCCTAAAAATGAGAGCGGAAGTTGGTAGAAAGTCGGTCTTGGTTTGAGGAGCGACCGTTGCGCTTCAAATTCGGCTTAAAGTGTGGGTGGCGGTGCAAGGAATGCAAGCTGATTTAAGAAAAGCATCGCTGCTCATTTCTGAAAAAAAGGGGGATTATTTTCCCGTACCCACGTCGCTTTGCTTGGTAGCAAAAAAAGCTCTAACCTATGAAAATAATCCTACCATTGTGGTAATCTTCCCATAGGTTCGCCATAAATGGCAAGTTCCATGGTAAAATGTACAACCCTGCAATTCAAGTCACTCGGATTTCACAGAAATGCAGGTTGTCACAAAATATACTATTTTTCATGTGGGAGATTGGTACAACTTATGCCCTGGGAGGGGAATCAAGGCCAGATTTTCAGACTGATGTTTTTTTCACAGTCTTCAGAAAAGAACATAGTACCCACTCCCAGTTTCATGAGCTTTGAATCATCGATGAAACGAAGTATTTAAACAGATTCCAGATTCAACCTCAAAGAGAATCGATTGGTTCGATCATTTTGCAACTCATTAATTTGACGCAAGTTTATGTTGGGACAGTTAAAAACGTCAAACTCGATCGCTCAGTAGTGAAGTTGCGAATGAATTCGTTATGCAGTCCGTCGAAGTTGAGTTGGCGGATGCGTCGGGTCACAGAAAGTTGGTAGAAAGTCGGTCTTGGTTTGAGGAGCGACCGTTGCGCTTCAAATTCGGCTTAAAGTGTGGGTGGCGGTGCAAGGAATGCAAGCTGATTTAAGAAAAGCATCGCTGCTCATTTCTGAAAAAAAGGGGGATTATTTTCCCGTACCCACGTCGCTTTGCTTGGTAGCAAAAAAAGCTCTAACCTATGAAAATAATCCTACGATTGTGGTAATCTTCCCATAGGTTCGCCATGAATGGCAAGTTCCATGGTAAAATGTACAACCCTGCAATGCAAGTCACTCGGATTTCACAGAAATGCATGTTGTCACAAAATATACGATTTTTCATGTGGGAGATTGGTACAACTTATGCCCTGGGAGGGGAATCAAGGCCAGATTTTCAGACTGATGTTTTTTTTACAGTCTTCAGAAAAGAACATAGTACCCACTCCCAGTTTCATGAGCTTTGAATCATCGATGAAACGATGTATTTAAACAGATTCCAGATTCAACCACAAAGAGAATCGATTGGTTCGATCATTTTGCAACTATAATTAAACTGCGTTCAAATACAACCCTGTCAATTTTTGCAGTTTGAGCTAGCGAGTCATCACTTCAACGCTTACTTAAGCAATACGTCAGGCAGCTTCAACTCAACCGCCTACGCAGCCCAGTGTCGGCGTGATATCTTATCCATGTTTTTGAATCGGGTACCATGCATGGTCTCCTTCAGTTTTGGAAGGAGATCAAATCCCGGGGGCTCACGTCCGGACTTGACGGGGCATGGAGTGTTTCTCGTTAATATTTCTCCTATAATGACGTCTTTGCAACCAAGATATATGGCCTGGTGTTGTCGCGAACTATAATGATACAAGATTTGAGCCTGTCCTTGCGGTTTTTCGAAACACATGCTTTGTTTTCTACACTATTGTTGCCTGTCTTACCGGTGTTCCCTGATGTCAGTCGCATCATGGAGACACTGAGACACTCTTTCAAAACTTCGTAAAGTAAGTGACACAGGTACCTTATTACATTATTTTCATGAGACGGAATATGCACAACTCAATTTTTTACGAAGTGGAAGGATGACCACCCCTTACCATATTGGGGCTGGAGGAAAATACGTGCATATTGACTGGATAATATACCCCTCCCATGTCTGCTTAAGTGACCTAGGGGAAGGACAGGTCCCCATTTTTGTTCTAAAAGGAACTCTTATTTGCAACTCTGAAGATATGAATTCACCGGGGAAAGCCTAAAACCACGAAAGGTAAGAAAATATCTCCAGAGACGACAAAGTGTTATGTAATGAATGCTACTTTGGAAACTTTAAAGCGTTACGTAAACAGCGACTAGTGTCTAATTCCAACGAAGTTAAGGCATTGGTCAACTCCTCTTTAAGTAGGTTGTGGACCCATCCGCAGTTCATGATGTATGCTGGTAAAGAAAAGAAATTCACACATTTTTTGCCTCATTAGAATTTTATTGGAAAAAAAGTTCACAGAGACCAATATCATTTCGTCCAATAATTATAAGCACACAATTTCAAGCATCACTCGTGTATCAATGCAATAAATATGTTCAATATGACAATGTGGCCATGGCATCATCACAGACATCACAAAACGAAAATGATAAGAGGTCGCAAACCATAAGCGAATGTCTTCATCACGCTCCCAGAGGAGCAGACGGGATGGAAATTCAAATAAGAAAATGAACATTGCATCAACGAGAAGTCTGGAACTTGTGAGTTTTCCCAAAAATAGTATATATTTTATACTTAGATTTTGTCTCGAGGACGCATAAATGTATCACCAAAAGAATATATCTCCCTCTCTCGAAAGATAAAGTTGTCGGATAGCAGTAAATCTAGGGCTTGATTAAAAGATATTCCAAGGATGAGAATTCCGCTAGACTGCTATACTCGTGATACACTTTTTAAAAAATTGGACTAATTCCTTCAGATTAATGATTAAAAAATGTTTAGAAGAACCTACTTCGGTTGCAAATGACCAGTGCTCAGTGCTTCCTTAACTTTACGAAATATACGAAACTCGACGAAACGAAAATACGAAAACTCCAGAGGTACTGCAGCAACAGAATCAAATCATGACAGTTATTGTAAAAATTGCTGTTTACAGAATGTCAGAGGTACAGAAAAAAAGGAGCGCAAAAATCCATGGCCGTCTAGTGACTATAACGCTAGCTTTTATGTCACTAAACAAGTGCATGTAATACAGCATATTTTAATATAGTGACATATATTCGACATTAAAATGCGTACAAGACAGCCAAATCCATTTATATGTACAGTAGCGGAATGAGTGATATTGAGTGACACATTTGGTATAAGATAACATGATGAATATGTGCGGAAGCTTTTCCTTAAATAATCCTTCCTAAAATGTTTTAAAATCTATCGCTTTTTCATTTGGTAGGAGTAAATTGAATTCAATAAAACAACTGTGAGCTCCAAAAGTTAGCAATTCTTTCGAATTGAAATTGCTGTGAAATATCAGAACGGTCAGACGAAATTGTGATATTATTTACATTGTTGCACATCAACATGCATACCATTCTTATCCTCTGAATTCAGCATAGTATTTTCAAAAGACAAGTCTGTAGATATTGATTTGATTCTGGGTAGAATGCATTCAATATTTACTGATTCTGCCCATAAATTAAAAAACGCATATGTTAGTAATATTTCTCAATTCTTGGGGGACATGTTCTTCCAATTCTACTGTCTCACTCAAAAAAGGAGGAAAAAGGAGCCTACTTGTTACTTGTATTGCACCAGCATACTCGTTGTCATCCATGATACAGTAGTGACAATGGAAACTTTGGAAAATAATAATATTATTATTTTCTTAGGTGAGAGAAGTTACTGTCCTCTGAATTTCCTTTTCTGACGCCCCAAACAAAGGTTGCCAAGTTACTAGGCTTTTCTTCTTTTCGAACTTGATTATTAAAAAAGAGACCATTACAAAATACTAATCCAACGAAAGGGATGAAATTCACTTCCGCTTCCAGATAGCCGTTTCAATTTGCAATGCAATCAGAGGATCAGTGGATATACAGCAATGCCGTGCCAAGAAGGTTATTTTCAAAAAAGATTTGTTTGTAGATAGAAGAGCATGTTAATTAATTGTGCCATCCCTTGTAGAATTATGTGGTATCTATAAATATTGCGAAGCTATTTCCTCTTTTCAGCGTGACATTTCCTACAATTTGAGATCTTTCATAGAAACTCAGCCCCGAGTCCAAAGAATGCAGGCAATTTGTCAACTATCGGTGGACAAGTGCTTCTGTGAAAAATCCTGTCCACTATGTTCATGAAATGAAAATACTAAAGCCACAAATTATATTTTTCCAAAGCAACCACAAAAGAAAATGCATGTTTCAAAGTCAATTTCACATTGATTCTCTTCTAGCGCACAATTCGAAATATTAGACAATCTTCCAAACAGTGCATTTATTGACCTAAAGCGATGCATATAGCATCAAGAAAAATGTGAAAAAGGATGGGGACTTGTGAAACAGTGAAAATCAAAGTAGTTCTGAAGCAACCCAGGATACGTTTTTTTCCGGTTGGTTCTGGACAGCATGAACAGGAAATGACTTTACTTCTTCAAACGCCTCGATATGTATTCACTGCTTCGCAAAATTCTGATAATAGATTCAAGCCTACTCTCGAATCACCAAATAGAAATTATGAATAGGTTTTCTGAAATTTTGAATATATGCAACATTGGCACATGAAGAATTTCCTTATTGGCATTTTCACTCGTCAAGGTTGTCCATTTCGGCCTATGCATGGTTTTACCTTCAAAACTAAGGCTGCGATAATGCAATTTCTGAATGGAGTGGTACGCGGGTTATGTACGAGACGGGAAATTAACCGAAATAATTTTTAAAAAGAAAACATCTATTCACGACCATGTCCTTCAGTTTCTCCGGTTGTGAGCTCAGACTACTCATGCACAAATTAAATTGGCAGTTTGATTTCGCAGAAATATCCGTTGTATAGACCAGTGCATAAGAAATCAGCCCAGCAACCATTAGAATATGCATTCCAAAAACATATGCAAGTGCCCGCATGATTCGGCGTTCCAGGACAAAATCCACTTTGGCTCGCTCCGGTCATAGTCAGGTTTTTCCCTGTAAAGCATATGATCAGTTTAGATGGTGAAATTGTCATCCGATCTGGATGCAGCACACCTGAGCCAGTCAGTTGAAATCCGCAATATCGCACCAAAAATCGAAAGATTGACATATCTGCTTTATATCAACTGTTAATACGCATTAGGTATATCGAAGTATTGTGTACTTGTTTTTGGCATAACTGCTCGTGAAGAAAATCCTTGTACACGAGCTGTAATCTGGGGAGATGACTTCCTCTACGGAAAGGGCGTGCGCGGAACGTAATAGAATTATGATTCAGTTAATGCTTACGGAAGATGCAAAAGTACATCAGTGATATCCTCCATAGAATGTCTGCCGCTTTTAGCGAGACAGGTTTTTGTCCGGGAGAATACAAATACGGTAAATTAATATGGAGTTATAATGACATATATGTAAATGAAATGTGAAATTTTTCATTAAGGACGCCTCCTTGTTCAGAACAAGCCCGTCTTAGACGCGATAGCGCACGATGTGATGAGAGTAATTTCTAGATGCCACAACTACTTAAAAGGAGACTTCAATGTGTTTGTTCACACGGTCGTTCACAATTACTCCTAGAAAAAGGGTATTGCAGCGCCCGGCCGAACAAGGAAGAATATTCACGTAGGTCTATGTCACGCTTATCAGCAGTGCAAGCATACCGAGGAGAACACCTTCATGAACAGAAAAACGGCCTTCATGTAAACCTGGTGACATCATTTCTTGACGATGACGCTCTATAATGACGACGTTGAGTTGATGGGAAAGGCCTAATAATAACATATTCTGTATCTCATTGACAGACCACACTTAGCCGCCAAGGACACATCAATAAATCGGTGGAGCAAGCTACAATTAGATATGAGATATTCCATTAGGTATGCGCGAAAGGAAGAAAGTATATCAGTCTTGCCCTGTAAATATAAAATTTCTAACTCAGTACAGTTTCTTTTTCGCAAAAACGTAGTTTCACCAAAGAATTGAATTTAAATGTTTAGTGTTTTTCCCCTGCTCTTGTTTCTTTGATATTTTCCAGCTAAAATGGGCAACCTTACTCTCTGAGCATTTGGAGATGCGGAAATATTTTATTTTAAGATGGTCGCTCGAATGGCAAGAAGTCCGAATTCTTCGTTTGCCACTTAAATGCTAGTATTGAAGACTCACCGTCTGTACCAGTACTAAATGAAAGTACCAGTACCTATTGGGTGGGCATAAAACGAGTGGTAATAAAACGAGTCAGCTAACGGTGTGTACTCATTGATTGCAAAATCCCAAGTGGTTGTCAACCGTGCTCCTCCTTGGATGATTATTTGTGTCCTGGACGGCATAGCACTCACTTTTGAATAATTCAAGTGCTTGAAAATCCGTCTTTGACGGAAAATTTCGAAAATTGTTCAAGTCTGACAGATCAGAATTATTGAATCGGCTTTACCTTTCGCATCAAAATCCTGAGAAGATGGAACATGCTACAATTACATATGAGATGAGATTTTCCAGTTATGAGCGAAAGAAAGTAGTACGTGTACCGCATATTTAAAATTCGTAATACGGCATAATTTCCTTAATTTGATATTCGGAAGCCGAAATGGACGCCCTGACTCTCTGAGTATGATGGAGATGCAGGAATATATATATTTTAGCATAGTCGCCGGAAAGTCTAGGAGTTCGAATTCTTTGTTTCCCTTTCCAGAGAAAGGGATGAAGACTCACCATCTGGGAATGCGACATAATAGGCGCTCAATGAACTCTGCCCACCAACCAATATATTGAGACTAGATGCCTGATTCTTCCATAGCTGCTTCGTATAGTTGTACACCGCTTCATTGCTGGAAGAGACCAGTTCAGCGTGATCTTGCTTGCACGCAGTCTCAGCAGCATTTCCAGTAATGGTTTTCAGGGTCATCTTCACGTAACTCCTCGTACCCGCCACCAGGTTGTACCCTTTCAGTAGAGTCATGCGACCGTGCATCGTTCAGCGTGTATGTGACATTATCAATGGCTACATTGGCAGGAATATGTTGAATTGATTCAAAGAAGTACGCAGGAAACAGCTTACTACGTCATTTTAGATCTAGTTGTTATTTAAAAAAAGAGCCATGATTGGGCTTACTCTGAAGTGGAATGAGAAAGTAAAAAATGCATGAAATTGCAGATTATTTGTAAAGGAAAATGATATTTTTTGTTCCTGCTTTATTCACACTTTTACAGTGTTCATAGAAGGGAAAATGAGCAATCTATTATTACCGATTTTAAAAGAATGCAAAATCATATCATAAAAAATATATTGCCCTGTTTCAGTGGGGGAAGTGGAAGATGATGAAATCAAGGATCAAGGAACTTGTGATGGGAAATGAATCACCTTATTATAAAAATGTCAAGAACTTCGAAGCTTCTCTCAAAAAATCACCAGGCATTTTAAAAATTATTTCACCTGCTGGGATTGGCATATCTGCATAGAAGAACTTGCTGAAGGCCTCGGCTGTCCTCGGCTCGTCGAATCTCTTTCCCAAAAGACATGTGACAGAGGTTGAACCCTGTGTCACAGAGTAACTCAAACACGTGGAATTCCTGAATGGGAAAATAAAATAACAAACTCCAATGAAACCTGTATATCGTCACATGTTTGCTTCAGCGTTCACTATCGGCAACCCAAGTTGCCATGGGAGATCCAAAACTCGTCCAGGGACAATCCAGATTTCCAGAGAAGGGGATAAGTCCAGAAGCGGTCATCCTTTGGATGTACGTTGGATATCATTGTCATGGATCCGTACCTTCTCTTGCATTATGAACTCAAATACAGCAAATTTTACAACATTTATTTGGCAATTGTTTACATTTCACTGAATAACAGGTTCTACGTGGACAGAAACTCGTTATTTTCTTGACTTCCACAGCAGACTTTTCAAAAGTCTATTAACACTCACCTAGGCTCAGACATTTCATTGCAAGCAATTTTGAAGGTAGTTATAATCTAAATGCAAGTTCAAGTTCCAGCGACTCACTGCATGCAAGCCATGGTGCACTGAAGTTCCGAACGTACGACGAGCTCGCGAATCGGTGATGTGATCTTCATGTTGGGATTTGTCGGGACAAAGAATCGCTGAGTCGTGATGGTCCCCATCGTCCTCCAGACAAACCAAAGAAGAATCCAAGGTAGCAGCTGCATCTTCCTCCAATTGCGTTAAGCGGTCAACTGGAGTGAATGAGCTTCGTGCAGCGTATACCCATATCTCCGTCTCGATGGATAAGCTGCGTCAAATACTTCCACTGCTCGAGTCGCGCGGTGCGGTCCGTCCGCACGATAGAGACCTGCAACTTCGATTTATGGCGATTTTCCCTTGTCTAAATGGTAAGTTTTTAGTGTCAGCTGTCACGAGGTAATTTCGTGCGGGCGATCAAAATGCTCTCACAAGACGAAGATGATCTATTTTCTGGTGCAGGTAACGTTCGTCGCACAGTCTATGAAAGTCAAGGGATTCGAGTCACCTAACCTCGAAGTCACACCGAACAGTGTTCATGGTTTCACAAATTCTTGTGTATTACTCCTGCTTCTTCGGTTGGCACTTCTCTGGAGAGAACTTCTTGCAGTGTTAGTATGATGATAACCTATTTTCGTTCCCAGAGGTGAGTACCTAGAAGACTCACTGAGGAAATAGTTCCCGTGCAGAGCACCATTACGACATCTCCTAGGCGATGAGGACTGTTTAAGATGCACATCGAAAGAAGTCTTTAATAATATAGTAGGTATAAGCGAGCTTCACTCTATCTGTAGAGATTCCTATCATCCTACTGTAATATAACTAAATGTTTGCCGCATCGACCAGAAAGACACTGATATCGGACGTTGGGCCATTTTCTCATCGGCTTAGTTAAGCCATATGCATCACTAATCACGGCTAAATCCTTTTCTGAATCATCGGAAACATCGGTCTGTAACATACCAACATGATGCAACGTAACTTAGAACGTGTGCAGTTGATTCTCACGGAAGCATGGGGAACTTGGCTTAGTTTGAGTCTTTCCATGGATTAGAAAGAAGAAATACTAATATTTGATTTCCTACATTCCATTCTATTACGATATCGTGCTTACAATGAACATCAAGCCACACAAATATTTCGGCGTGAAGTTTCCTTTTTCCATTTCTGTAGCTTTCGCTTCTCCAGGGCAATTAGAACGTAGAATGGGTGGCCTAGAAGCGGGGTGGTCCTTCAAATCACGTATTCGTTGGAGAAATCCATGAAATCGAAAATCGGATGTAGGGAAAAAGTGTCGCAATGCACATGAGAGACTTATGTTCCCATGCAAACCCGAATTTCGTAATGCAGTTATATATCGACGTTCAACCTTGAGCCATGAATAATTGAAAATCTCCTCCACGCGCAGATCGGATATCGATTCACTTGACGAAAGCGTCTCGGCATCATCAGCATTATCTTGATGGGATAGCTCGTTCGTAGTGCGAGCGTTCTTTTGCGAGACTGGCTCCCCGGAAATACCTTCATGTTATAGTTGCCAGCAGTGGCTCACGATCGCGGTAATGACCAGCTGAAAAGTAAATACTCAATTAAATGAAGTTAGAGCACTTATTCGAAACAGGTCATTCTAAATGAAATTTGGCAGAAGCCAATAATATTATCACCGCTTGGAAATAAAAAAAAAACACAATGTTACTTCTAATGGTGGAAAGAATAATGTTTTTTAGCGTTTGATAGCAACAGCATCTTAAGAATACAGAAAACATTCCGGTATTCATGTTTGTCCCGTCAGACCTAAGCAGAAACTCCCCAAGCAGCATGTTTACGTAAACATATCAATTTTTTGCAATGTAAATTTCTTCCGATTTCCATGAAAATGACATCACGTTTACGTGAAATTTACGCTTCTATATTTAAGTCATCAAAGTGTAGGTGTATTTTACGTAAACTAGACGTCACTCCATCTGACGTGAAGTACATATCAAGTTCATGCAAAGTTAATATCACACTTTCCATATGAAACTTTAGCTGACCAACCCGCAGTTGCAACACCAAGATTCCTCATTAGATGAATCTTGGTATTGCAACCCTTGTTCCCTGCACCCAACAAATGGTATCAAGTACTGGCTTTCCTGATATATTATAATTTTTTCTTACCGTCCTTCTACCTTTTATCATGCAATCCATGAATGGATATGGAAAACAGGAAATTATTACTATAAAAATTATTATATACTGAGTCCCTTAGTAATTTACGACTTCGATTCGAACAATAATTTCGTAACGCGCCCTAATTCCTCTCATCTTAGGGTCGAGGTGTTTATGACATGGTAAAGATAGGAATATGGATATCTCCTCTAAACATATATTCCTCTTCCCGAGGTCGTTGTATGGGAGGAGGAACTAGTGAGTCGTCTTGGTACTCTTGAGTACTAGTGAAGATGGGTCCTTGTGTACTCGTCCAAGTAACCTTGAGTTTCGAAGTAAGGAAAAGAATGGGAGAAATACAGTGTATCAATTCCCTTCAATATTACGAATTGGCTCGTTAAATACACATGAATGTTAGGGGGAAATTAACATCAACTTTACGTAAAACGAATGCAAACATGATGTTCGGGATGTAAACGGGAATGCCAATTTTATGTAAATATTACGTTAATTTTAAATCACCGTTTTCGTATTAAATAGGTGACATTTCTTCAAGCATGTTGCTATTATTGGGTTGTTAAGAAAGTTTTTGGAGTTTTTCTTGTTTTTGTTCATTCTCTCTTTATTCATAATGAAAACAAGATCAATCCACAATGTAAGAACCATCGTTGCACGATGCAAGCACCACAACCTTCCTCCACCTGTCGGGCAGGGAGTGGATGCCCTCCCTCTAGAACGCCGGGCTCGAAGAAGTGTTTGAGGTCAGTTTCGAGCGCCTTCTGGGTATCAAAGTGCTTCCCCTGCATGTGGTTCTGTAGGGAGCGGAAGAGGTGATAGTCTGAGGGGGTCAAGTCGGGGGAGTACGGTGGATGGGGCAGAACTTCCCACCCGAGCTCAAGGAGCTTGAGACGGGTCGTCTTCGCAGTATGGGGTCGGGCGTTGCCGTGGAGGAAGAAGATTTTGTCGTGTTGCGGTCGCGTCGCTTCGAGTTTCAGCTTCAAACGCCGCAGCTGGGAGCAGTAGTAGTCAGTAGTGATAGTGGTGTTGGGCGGCAGCACGATGCCGAGGACGTCCCACCACACGCTCAGCATAAATTTCCGCGGGTGCAGGTCAGATTTCGGCTCTGGCTGTGCCGCTTCGGCAGCGTCGAGCCACTAGCGCTTCCGGGTATGGGTGATGTAGAGACACCACTTCTCATCCCCAGTCACAACGTGGTCAAGCCGGTCGAAGCTGCGCCTCCGCGAGAGGAGATGGGTGCAGGCCTCAGACCGAGCGTCGAGGTCCCTCTGGGTTAGAGTGTGGGGCACCCAACTTCCCATCTTGAAAACCTTGCCGATAGAGTGGAGATGATTGTCGATGGCAGCGTTGGAGCAGTGGAGGGTGGCGGCCAGACTGCGCGTGGTTGCTCTCGGGTCGGCCTCCACCAGGCTGCGCAGATCGTCCAAGTCCACCTCGGAGGGACGTCCCGACCTGGGTCGGTCCTCGAGGCTCCTGTCGCCGGAGCGGAAGCGATTGTACCAGTAGTGGTAGGTGTTGAGGGAGGGGGCGTCACGGCCTTCTGTCTGGCACAGATGACGATGCGCCTGAGTAGCGGAGACGCCCAGGTCGAAGTCGAAGAGCAGGCAGTGTCGGATGAGCACGCGCTTTTCTTCCATTTTCTCTGTCCAGAGCGCACCGAAAATGGAGTGAAAACAATGAGAAGGTGCATTAGTGAGCCCTTTATATACATGCTCAATTTCGAAAATTTTTTTTTATGCCGAAGGGCATGGCCGAAATTCGAAAGAAACTCCAAAAACTTTCTTAACAACCCAATATCTTCATGATGATTTGCGTAAAAATGATATAAAATGGACAAAAAAATTTACATTAACATGCTGCTTGGGTCCTTTCAGAAGAGAGTACATCTGGAGGTGATCTTTTCCTACATGGGGGTGATTCCATGTAAGATCGACCAATTTTCTCATGGTCGACCATCATCGATTTCGCTGAAATTTGGTGAGAGGTAGCCCTTGACCCAAAATCGGGAAATCCAAAATACTTTTTTTCCTGACCAATGGTGTGCCTGTGGCGAGGTCACAAAATGTTGACCTAATTTAGCTGGATCGGCAGACCTCTTTCGGACTTTCTTCAGTAACTCCTTGGCTATTTCTCATAGAATGTTCATTTAGGACTCCCTTAAAATGCCTCTGTTAACTCTATCGTGTTAATATATTCCAAGTTAATATTTCTGCATACTCATTTTATATAAAAATTCCAAGNGGAAAAGAATGGGAGAAATACAGTGTATCAATTCCCTTCAATATTACGAATTGGCTCGTTAAATACACATGAATGTTAGGGGTAAATTAACATCAACTTTACGTAAAACGAATGCAAACATGATGTTGGGGATGTAAACGGGAATGCCAATTTTATGTAAATATTACGTTAATTTTAAATCACCGTTTACGTATTAGAGAGGTGACATTTCTTCAAGCATGTTGCTATTATTGGGTTGTTAAGAAATTTTTTGGAGTTTTTCTTGTTTTGTTCATTCTCTCTTTATTCATAATGAAAACAAGATCAATACACAATGTAAGCACCATCGTTGCACGATGCAAGCACCACAACCTTCCTCCACCTGTCGGGCAGGGAGTGGATGCCCTCCCTTTAGAACGCCGGGGGCTTGGCCTCGAAGAAGTATTTGAGGTCAGTTTCGAGCGCCTTCTGGGTATCAAAGTGCTTCCCCTGCATGTGGTTCTGTAGGGAGCGGAAGAGGTGATAGTCTGAGGGGGTCAAGTCAGGGGAGTACGGTGGATGGGCAGAACTTCCCACCCGAGCTCAAGGAGCTTGAGACGGGTCGACTTCGCAGTATGGGGTCGGGCGTTGTCGTGGAGGAAGA